GCTGAATGTAACATTGTTTCTCCATCATTAGGTGTGTTTTGTTTTTTTAAAATAAGCATATCTTTCTATTTATTCTGCTTGGCTGTTTGGGCTCATTGGAATTCTTCTTTTTGTAAATTGATGTCTTTCACCAGTTTTAGAAAAGTCTTAGTCATTAGCTCTTCAAATATCATTTCTGCTCCATTTTCCTCTCTTCTCTTTCTGGGATTACAATTAAATGTATGTTGTATGTTTTTATATCTGTCTTCTATGTGTCTTAACCTCTCCTCTGTATTTTTTATCCTGTTGCATATCTATGTTATTTACCAGATAGTGTCTTCTGACTTTTCTTTCAGTTCACTACTTCTATCTTCATCTCTGTCCAATTTGTGTAATATGACAAAAAAAAGAAAAGGAGAAAAAAAAACCACAAAACTTCCACTGAGAATTTAATTTAAGCTATTGTATTTATCCAGTTATAAGTGTTCAGTTAGCTGTTTTTCTTTCTTTTTTTATAGTTTGCAATCCTTACTAAAAGTTCTAAATTTTACTTTTACTTCCCTAAGCTTAGTAACCATAGTTGTTTATCAACTCGTGCCTGGTAACTTCAGTGTCTGGCATATCAGTGCATTTGTTTCCGTTGTCTGTTACTATGTTGTATCTCATTTATGTTAGATTGTCTTCTCATATATAGGAATATCTTTGATAGTGCACTGGCTATTGTATATGAAAAGTTATTGGTAGAAATGAGGTATAGGATGATTTTTATTTCCCTTTGAAGAAGGTTTTAAATTACTCTTGCTGGACGTTCAATGCCTAAATGCATTAGCAGTACAGGGTTCCCCTCATTATTCTATGGCTTGAGATTTTGGGGGCCACTCAGGTGACTTGAAGCTAAGACACAGTCTCTGTGAAGGCTGTTTTACTCTCATTCTACCTAGGATTCATGACGGTTTATCAGGGCTCCACCCTCTTCAGGCCCTGAACTGAAACTTTGCTCCTCTTTGCCCCGAGAGGCTCTCAGAAGTGCTGCTAATTCCTTCTGGATCAGCAAATGCCCTATGGGCAGAAGCAGTCCCCAGTATTAGGCTCGGGTCTCTCTCTGACATTAACTCAGAAATTTTACTGTCTTTGTGAGGTCTTTCTTATACATAGGAAGATGTTTTTAAATATCATCCAGATTTTTAAAATTGTCTTTGTCAGGAGAGTTGGTCTGAGTTACCATTATAGAAAGTAGATATCCTAAAGCTTAAGCTTATTTAATGTTTTGCTAATTTAGATTATGAAGGTTAATATCTAATCATAATTCAACGGAACTTTTAAGTACATTAATTATTTAATCTCATAAAATAATACTTAAAATTATGCCATTAAACTGGACTTTTAAAAACATAAAACAATTTTTAACTTTTCTTGGGTTAAATTTGAAAGTTAGCCAGTTGAGGTTTGTATAAGAATACATCAGGAAACTAAAACAGAAATATCCATTAGCTAGGAGAATATGGTTGGTATTTGAATAAAGTGTTACAAAATACAAATAGAAGGTGGAAACCTTTTGTTATAAAGAATTAAATTAAAACCAAAAAGAATATCTCAAAATACAGTCTTTTTCACTCATCCATTAAGCATATAGCATTAGTTACAGGTGAGAATGTGTTGAAGTTGCTGGCAGTAGCAGGACTTATTGTCATCTAACCAACTAATAGTCATATCCCCTCTCTTCCATCCCCATCTCCCAATATATTCTGTCCTATCAGAGAGATTTGTTCAAATAGCAGATTGGGATATCCTGATCTCAATAAAAGTAGAACCCCATGAGAACTTCCAGAGGTTTAAAAATAACTGATTTAAAGTAATTATAATAAATCCATTCCTCCATTCTACTATAATTTCCTAATCTTTATTGCAGCCAATTCTGGACAATGATAATGTACAGGGGTTTCTATGAAAAATTTTCCTTCTTGATTAAAAAAATATAGAATAGAAGCAACTAACACTATTTCTTCTCCCTTTTCCCAGACTTGAACTCATAAAATATTCGAGCTGCTGCAGTCATTTTTTGACCATGAGGTAACAAACACAAAGTGAAAAGCCAACACACTAAGAAAGGTAGAGCAGAAATTGAGTTTCTAAACAATTCTGAGATTATCTATCTCCTGATTTGTATGTAGGTAAAAAATAAATGTCTTCATATTTTAAGTTGCTAAGTGGTAGGTTTCCTATGATTTGATGTTGAAAATACCCATAACTAATATATTTGATAAATATGCTCATACGGCAAAGTTTGACCCAGGTTTGACTCTAGACAATGCTTGAGATTTGTGTCACTTACTATAATACAAGAGTCCTGAGGTTCAAGGTCAAAGTCAGTGACGTTCAAGAGAACACGGTGATGTCTTTCCACTTGAATGACCCAGGAACAGTCAGTGTTACTCCTATAAGGACTGGGGTAATTTGGAGAATGAATCTCACCACTGGGAGCCTGGAAAATCCCACCACAACCTGTAGGTAGAAAACCCAATTCAATAATGAGAGGAATCCCTGATGCATAAAACTTTACCCCATAACCTGGTAGTATAGGACAATATGCTACTTTGTTTGACTACCACTTTTAGGTAGTCTGTGCTAAACATTTTGAAGACATCAATATCCACCATTAATTCATTCATCCCAATAAAACAAAGGACAACTAAGAAAATACTTCAAATACTTTAAATATTGATGCCAAAAATTATTTTTAAAATACTGAAAAGTAAGCGTAAATGAAATCATGTCTTCATAAAGCCATAAAAAGTCTTGCCATGGTTCTCTAAAAATATAGCCAGTTGTAAGAATAGCATATCTCCTTCCAAGAATTTTGATTAATTCAGTAGTGTATGCTTTTATAAACAATTTAATATCTGCAATTTAAATTTTAATATGCATGGACACAGAAAACAGTGTGGTGAAGGCCAGGGGAGAAGGGGTGGAGGCTGGGTGAAGGTGGGCAAAGGGGGGGAAATGGGTGTCATCTGTAATAGTGTCAACAATAAATCAATTTAATATTCTGGATCTGGTACAGTTATTCAATATTTTTATTCTTATGATGTTATCAAATACCTTTCAATGTCTACCTCTATGACCCGTTATTTCTTGGAATAGTGATGGTACAAACCAATAATGGAAAAATTCAGTATTATTTTCTAATAACTGCAAATCATTTTGGGGTAATTAAATAACACATATTTATAATTCTAATTAAAGTCATACACTGTTGACTTCAGGAAACATGTGATATACTTACTGAATTACCCTACAGTTGCAAAAGTGGGGCCATGAGGTAGCTTGAGGTTACATTTTGCTTTGGCATTTTCTAGAAGTCACTAACATCTCTAAAGCTTTGATTTCCTCTTTACTATGATGAGTATATGAAATGAACGTCCCTCCCACAGTGGTTGTGATTAAATGAGATGATTCTTACAGAACCGTTATGAAAGCTCCAGGCACAAAGTATGCATTCAATAAATGTGGCTGTTATGAGTAGTTGTACAGGTTAACATCTACTAAAATATTTTGAGCATTAATTTATTTTATTTAAACAATCCGTTACAGATAACTTATTCAGACTGCCTAAGTTCCTGGGCAGAATGTCACTGTCTAATATCTGGTAATTCCTTGGAATTCACAGACTTAACATTTACAGCTTTGACATTTGCCAAGAATCTAAAGGTCTAAACTGTGGCAAGAAGAAATTTACATTTTCTGATGCCCCAGTTTGAAGTTGGTGAACAGGCACAAGTCCTTAGAGAGGAAGTGAGTCTAACCAACCACCCACTCCTGCTCTCACCATGGATCGGCGTATGTTCCTTGTTTTCACATACACCGTGACTCTTCAGAAGTCTACCCCATTTTTTAGGGAAAAGTATATGCCAAAGCAGTATTCACCACTTGGGAAGTCACAAAGTTGTCAGGATGTTGTCTCTATACCTCTCTCCAATCATTTCATGAAAGTTAACAAGGGCTCGGTTCACTCACCTCCAGGGATGGCTTGCCATGAGGCATTGAAGCCTCTCCCACCTATGAAGCTGTCAGTCACAAATCGGATTGCTAGCTCATTTCCTGTGCTGGAGACCTGCATGGGATTCTCAGATGATCTCCGGGCACACAACTGGGCTATTCTGGGAGAGTGGAAATCGGGGCCTCCATAGATCTAGAATGGGATGCAGGACAAAAGATTTAAATTAGAGATGTACTTAAGCAATTACAGCCCTCCCGTGACTCACTTTTACCACCAGTTCTTGGACTTTATTATCACTAGAAATTGAAATCTCAGCCTCCTTGGGTGGGGATGAACTATAAACTTGAGCAGGATTTTCAAAGGCACTCCCTCTGCCCTGGGAACACACAAGCTCAACCACCCACGAAATGCCTGCTTATTTTATCAGCCAGACTTGTAGAGCTGAACTGCATAGATGATTCCTCCTTATCTCTCCTCTTCCTGTTTTTCACGTCTTCAAAAGATTTCCTGTTTTCTTAGGCAGAGGCATTGCCCCTAATGCTGTATCAAGTCTGATTTTCTAGCTCTTCTAGGGTTAGTATAAAGCCATTTTGTTGGTGAAAATCAAGTTCATTGAAGGCTATTGCTCTCTCAGTTATATTTTTAGGATTTTCCACTTTGTAATATGAATATTTTTTAAGATTAGGCATTTAATTCATATTTTTCCTTCTTCAGATGGAGTGAAAATATAACCTCTCTGAGCGTGTTCTGCAGTATCCTCAAGAAAGGAATCCTTCTCTGTTTCTACTCCCAGAATGCCCACTCTCAGGAACATGACCAAGAACACCAACTTCTGCTCAGGAATTGCCCTGTGCACTCTGCCTCAGTATCCGGATGTTTCTCCCTTGATCCATCACAGTTGTCCTCAACCCTAGGCTCCTCCAATGTGCAACTGTCTATCTGACTGGGATCTGACACCCCAGTGACACAGTCCTCCCACCAAGTATCCACTTGGTCTCACATCCAGCATCTTGCAAGCAAGTCTAGTCCAGCGCAGGCCAGACCTCCAGGTCACCTCACACACTGGTTTCTCAATGGCCAGTGGGCCCTGCTTATCCAGTGTATGTGTTACATGGAGGAAGGTGGGGAATGTGGGGAAGATAAGACTCAAACAGAAGATACTGAAAAATAAAATTAATGCCCTGACTGGGTGGTTCAGTCAGGAACATCGTCCTGTACACCAAAAGTTTGCAGGTTTGATTTTTGGTCAGGGCACATACCTAGGTTGCGGGTTCCATACCCAATCTGGGAGCGTATGGGAGGTAACGGATCGATGTTTCTTTCTCACATCGATGTCTCTCTCTCTCTCCCCCTTTCTCTCTGTAAAATCAATAAAAACATATCTTCAGGTTAGGATTTAAAAAATGTTTTTTAAAGTAAAATAAAATTAGGCTTCTGGTCAAGATGGAGACATAGGTAAATGCAGTACTTGAATTCTTTCACTACCACATCAAAATTTCAATTAAACTACAGAACAACCATCAGAATCAGTCTGAAATATAACTGAACAGAGTCCTACAACTAAGGATATAAAGAAGAATCGACATCGAGACTGGTAGGAGGAGTGGAGATACAGAACAAACTGGTCCCACACCCACGTGTGTCAGAGAAAAATAAGGAGGGATATCTCAGCTACTAAGGAGCAAGAGGTTAGAGACCCACACCAGGCCCCCCAGCCCAGGGTTCCAGTGCTGGGAAGAGAAAACCCCACAACCTCTGGCTATAAAAACCAACGGGGATTGTAGCTGAGGGAGGCAGAGGGCTTTCTGGAGCCCCAGGTGTTCCTCTTTTTTTTTTAAATATATCTTTATTTTTTATTTATTATTTATTTATTTATAATATATATAAATATATAAATATATAAATATATATATACACATTATACATATACATATACATATATATATATATATAAAACTTTACTGATTTCAGAGAGAGGAAGGGAGAAGGAGAGAGAGAGATAGGAACGTCAATGATGAGAGAGTCATTGATCGGCTGCCTCCTGCACGGCCCTGACTGGGGATCGAGCCCACAACCCAGGCATGTGCTCTGATGGGGAATCAAACTCTGATCTCTTGGATCCTAGGTCGATGCTCAACCACTGAGCCATGTTGGCCAGGCCCAGGTGTTCCTCTTAAAGGGCCTGCACACTGACTTACTCGGACTCACTCGCTCTGACTTCCAGCACTGGGGTAGCAGCTGGAAAGGCACCAAGGCATATGGAGAGGAACTGAGTCATCTGGCATCAGAGTAAGAGCTGGAGGGGCAGCTTCCTCCCAGACAGAAGAGCTGGCAGAGGCTATTGTTCCTTTTCTGAGCCCTTGCCCCACAGAGCTGGCATATCTGAGACTCTTATCAACCTGGCTCACACTGTTAGCCCCACCCTGGTGATTCCCAACTTGCAGGCCCACCCAAGCTGTCCCCACTGGCTTTTCCTTACAAATGGCCTGTCATGGCTCATGCTTCAGACTTTCTTAAAATCTCTCAAACAGGCAGCATCTGGCTTCGGTGTGCCCCTTAACTCTAATTAGTCCCAGGCCCAGCACTAGCAGCCAAGGTTACCCTACCCAGCAAAGCTATCATTTAGAATCAAAGGACAGATGAAGAGCTTCTCAGACAAGAAAAAGCTAAAGGAGTTCATCACCACCAAACCAAGTATTACATGAAATGCTAAAGGGTCTTCTTTTATTTATTTATTATTTTATTTTATTTTTATTGATTTCAGAGAGAAGAAGGGAGAGGGAGAGAGAGAGAAGCACCAATGATGAGAGAGGTCATTGATTGGCTGCCTCCTGCACGCCCCCTACTGGAGATGGAGCAATCCAGGCATGTGCCCTGACCGGAAATCGAACCAGGATCTCCTGGATCCCAGGTCGATGCTCAACTGCTGAGCCACACCAGCCGGGCTAAAGGGTCTTCTTGAAGAAAGAGAAGAAGGAGGTGGAGAAGGTCAAATGTATGAACAATAAAATGGCAATAAACACATATCTATAAAAAAAAAGAAAATGATTGCAGAAAATAAAAAGTTGACAAATATATGAAACTCAGTAAAACATCATGGAACAGGATGCTCTGGACTTTGAGCCATAAAGAAGAAAATTAGGCAGTTTCCCTCATTTCAGACAGAGAGATAAGATGCCATCTTGTGAGAAAACTGACAGAATCCAGAATCAGAGGCTGTTTCTGAGTTTATCATATGATTTTCTTTTTTATATTTATCATATTTGTGCACTGATATATTTGCCTAAAGGAATAAGTGGTAGCATTTTCAACTTTAAAATAAATTAATTAAATTAAAGATTATTTTAAAAAGAAGATATTAACCCCTACCTTCAGGTCTTGCCAAGTTCAAATTTGTGGAGTAAAGACAGTTTTGGGCAATAGTTTTCAAGCACATTGGTGTCTGGGTCCTTCCCTCCGCCCCACGTGTATGCTCATCCGTCTGTGTTCAGGGTGGGAGCCAGGACAGCATGGCTCCTTAAGGCTTGTGTGCCGGGCGCCCCTGTCCCTGTGACTGTGCTGCTTTCCCCCTCCAGTTGCCCCCTCCCCACTCCTCAGGACCCCTGCCCTTGCCCACCCTCAGGGAAGCTGCTGACTGATGGGGGAAAACACTCAAGTGTTCTCTGGGGAGAGAGAGGGAGAACAACAAGCCTTCTTTGGGGGAGTATGTGATCTGAATCTATAATGATTTCTTTGTCTGATTAATTCCCCCAGTCATGCGGGAAAGGCCCAAATGAATGAAACTGCTGTTCCGCAGAGGGCCGAGTACAAGGACTGTAATTGCAGAGGAACGAAGCAGGCTGACGGCTTCATGCTTATTTTCATTAGGAGGAGCTATGTTTGTGTGCCCTCCCCCCTCCAGCCCACCCAAAGCAGAACTTCAGGAAGAGCCCTGTGTGGCCCTTGACACGTACACATATGCAAATGCAGGGGACAAGATTGCTTCTGGTTTCGTGTCTTTCCCAAGCTGAAGGTCTCCCTGCCCGCGCGCCCAGGGCGCAGTCCTCAGAGCATGACACTGACCGCATGTGCTCCTAATCATCCAAGCCCAGTAAGCGGCCCATATTTGGAGAGAACATCGGGCACAGGGGTTTAGTTCTAACAAAGAAAACTTGCGCGTCGGCAAAATAGTCTTTGTTTTCCCTGCTCGCGGGCCCCCTTGAGAACACAAACATAACGGATGTGAGTCGGCTGGGCCTAGAAGCCTCCAGAAGAATAAACACTACCACTTCTGCTTCCCTTCCTCCTGGGCTGGGCTCACAAAAGACCTTCGCGGAGAGACCAGAGGGAGCTAACTGCCCACACCAAGCAATTGTCTAGGTTTATAGCACCGAGGAGTGGATTTCCTTTTCTGCTTTATGCCGGTTTGGGCTTCTTTCTCAGAGGCTGAAGAAAAATCAGCCAGTGTTTCCAGGACCCGAACAATAGAAAGACACTTTTGGCTTCTACAGATAAAACCAACAGTTAGCATATGACCCTTCAAAAGGAAAAGTTGGAAAGAATGTCAGGGTGTGGTTCATTGGACTACAAAGTATGACTAAACTGTAGGGGGAAGAGAACTGGTCTGATGATTAGAGATGAAAAAATGTGTTTTTAGCAAATTCTTAGGATATAGAGCCTTTCAAAGTCTGTGGTTTTGACCTGTTTGGAATATTTCTTTCTGCTCTGTTAGCTCCATTTATTGCTACAATCAAGTCAGCATCCCAGGGTTCTGAGTAACCAAACGGCTGTTGATTAATGCAATTGGCCGCTTTCTGGATACAGATTTTTGAGGGAGAAAAATATTGGCTCCTGCTTAAATCAGATGAAACCCAAGTAAACCTAATACCTGGTGACAGTGAGGGGCTACTTGGCTCTGCTCAGCAGGACAAGATAGGAGAATGTGTAGGCTGAGGGCAGGCGGGTCAAGAGAGTCAGAGGCTTCTGGGCCACACACCCACCAAGGGTAACACATTTTGAAACCTCTTGCTAACAAGATATCAGCTTCTATGGTATGAGGGATGGAAAAAATCATTTTACCGTGTAGACAAAAAAGGGGCCACATGCTAAATTTGACAAGCTCAGGGGAAGCCAGCACGGCAGCCCACACAGACTGAGAAACCTAAAGTAACCACATAGGATGCTTTGAACATAAAATTTCCAAATTAAAGGCAGATGGTGACAGGTAGTCACATCCTAGGCCTGTAGCTTCTTTGACAAAGGTCCATCTTTACCTTAACTGAGCCTGTCTATTGTCTTTTTCCATCTAAAATAACAGACCTTGGAAATGTCAGAGTTAAGCCCCTTTTCCAGGCCCCTCAGGGCACAACCTTTGCACCAGAGCAGGAGACCGCGGTACTCCTCATGGAATACCATCCCTATGTGATGTGTTAATTATTGATTATCCTGTGCCCACTAAACTAAAAGAAGGACTAATCTCTTGTTTTCCTCTGTATCCAATCCCAGAGATTCCCTGCTTTGCTTTCTCCTGCCTCCCTAATCTTTCACCAATGGATTTCATGTGACCCTCCTTACATCCCCTTCTTTGACTCTAATGTATAAAATAAGCTGAAAAACTGCAATTCTCCAGGGTAGTTGTTGATTTTGCTTCTCAACAATTATTGTCAGTTTGGCTCAAATAAACTCATAAAAATTCTCTACAGGTTTGGACGTTTCTTACATCAACAATCGTCATTAGAGCAAATTTATTGAGCATTTGCAGAGAGGTCAAACAAGGTTTTTGAACAAAAAGTAAGGAAGTTACTCATTTTAGCCTTAATAAAAAAAACTCCCAAAATATTTAAAGGCCTTAAAATACTGTTCCAAGCCTTAATTTTGATGGGACATTGGGAGATGACCTTGTCCTAATAAAAATAAGCCCCAACCCCAGCCGGGTGTGGCTCAGCGGTTGAGTGTTGACCTATGATCCAGGCGATCGGGGTTCCATTCCCGGTCAGGGCACATGCCTGGGTTGCGGGCTCGATCCCCAGCAGGAGGCGTGCAGGAGGCAGCGGACCAATGACTCTCTCATCATTGATGTTTCTATCTCTCTCTCTCTCTCTCTCTCCTTTCCTCTCTCTGAAATCAATATATATCAATCAAAGATAGATTTAAAACATATAATAATAACAAGCCCCACGCCAACCGCAGCTTCTTCTCGCAGCCTTTCCCGTGCAGGCACAGTGCCCTGATTGAGTGCTACCGCCTGGAGTCCCTGCTTTGTCTTTCTGTCCCCAAGGCTGCTTGCAGGGAACAGTCCCGGTCTTTTCTTTCTCACGTAATGGGTGTGACAAAACCCAAAGCACAATAAACCCATTTAAGTTTGCCAAATGGGCTTTGGAATAGGAACATGAAGGGTTAGGAACATTTCGAATTACTGTGGAAAAGTCTGCTCCAGCCCTTTGTAAGCGTCGAGGGCATTTATGCAACTGGGAAACATCCTTGCTAGCAGGAGAGACCACCCAGAGGTTCCACATTTGAGTGTGAGTCCTACTTCATATGTGAGTGTGAGTTGTTGCTCCCTTGTTCTCTCCTCCTAAAAAACAGCTCTGAGATGGAGTCATGACTTGGCAACAGTACTTATGTGATGATGAGGGGGTGGGTGTTCACCAAGGACTGACCAGCTCTGTGTCTGATTTCACTTACCGCAGCTTATCATAAGTCCTTGAGAGGTATGTGAGCTGTTAAATGCAGTTCCTAGCGACTGCCCCGCTAGGTGAGGGCACGATTTGAGAACCCCACTTCTTTTCAAGGAAAGAAATTGTTTTGTAATTAAAGCTTTTAAGTGCTAAAGCTTCCATAAAGTACATGCCACTCATTTCAATATCTTGCATACTGACTACCTCTATCTTTTTATACCGTTTCACAGAGTGCTGAGTGGTGGATGCGTTCAGTTCATAGCTCTTCCACTCACCATCCTTGTGGCCATGGGAAAACCCATCAATCTTTCTGAGCCTCTGTTTTGAGGATGGTAAAATGGGGACAAAATTCCGCCCTTATCTCACAGGATTACTGAACATTCAAATGGGAAAGTGGATGTCAAAGTCCCTTTGTAAACCACCATACGTGTGTTATTAGGGTGTGTCAGTCACAGAGACATTTGGATGTTTGCATTCATTCCACAAATACGTATCAGGTGTTTACTATTTGCCAAGTACTCTGTGGCCCTGGGGGGGGGGAGGGGGGAGGAGTAAAACAAAACAAAAGCAGACAAATACCCAGCCTTCATGGAGTTTAAGTTCTACCAGATATAGAAAGCTTGCCACGATGAGCTGTAGCATCCTGTATGGTGATAGGGGTTTTGTGTGTATTTAGCTTTAAATTTTGCAGATAGGTCAAAGTCCAGGATATCTACTATATGTATAATCCCCTAATGACTAGATCCTTGCAATAAAAAGCTGATTATAATAGATTCTCAAAGGCTATCATATCATAATTATCTGAGATAAACCCTTTGCAGTAGTGTTGGAAGAGTTCTCTTCAAATGCCTTAGACTGTCTAAGTGACCATTTTGTTAAAAACTTTCTGCAGCAGATGCGTTTTGCATTTGGCCCCATGTGGATCCTCTTAGGTTGCAACTGCAGCTGAGGTAGGCAACTCCTCTGCTTACTGACACGTCTCCCCATGGCCCCCCTTCTCTATACTCTGCCTCCCCAGTGCATTTCCCAGGAGAGCTTCCTTGGACTGGAAGAGTGGGGAGCTAACAATGCCAAGTGCATTCCTCCATCACTGGGGGTGGGAGTTCAGGGACCAATGCCTCAGCCTGGTGTCCTGAGAGGGATGATTCTGAGAAGCAGTCCTCACAGGAGCTCAGAGGCTCCCAGCAGGATTAAGCTCAAGTTGCACCCAGGGGCTCCGCCTTCATTGGCTCTTCCTCCAGCACCCTCCCTCTCGCTGCTCCCTACGCTCCTGCTTCCTGGCATCACCTCCCAGTTAAGCTGCCAGCCAGCAAGTCCTACAGGCACTGCTTTTAGAGAAACCCAAACTGAGATAGTAATCCCATTTGTCTGCAAATGTCATCACAATTTCTAACAGAACACTGCTTTGAACAGTGGAAAGAATTTAGGAATTTTTGCAGTGATTTCCAGGTCTACCCCAAATTTTGGAATATGCTGGAAAACAGTGTAAATTCCTACCTCCAGGACATCAAACTTGCAGCTTTCGTGATACTCCACATCAAAGTCGTGGATGGTGAGCTGAATGCTGCTCCCAGGAGCAGTGTGAATGTACCATATACACTCCTTGCTGGGGGGATACGTGTTAGGGTAGCCAGGGCTGCTGAAGGAGCCTGTGGGCCCCGACAGCTCCGCACCACAACCTGTGAAAACAGCAAGGCTCAGTCAGTCCTAAGTGAGCACTGGCCACTGGGAAGAATTTAAAAATCCAGCTAATCAAAAGGTAACTGAAAATGCTCAGGACAATTTTAGGAGAAAAACCATAATGTTACAATAAAGTTATAATTAGCAGCTATAAAACAATGAGAAAAATCATGGCTACAACTTATTCTTTTTTAAAAACATCGATTATATCATTTGCGCAATAATTTTCAGTCTTTATTCTCACATCAAACCTTTGGTAATATTTTCAAAATGTCATTCTGATTTTTAGATTTTTTTCATTATATGTAGGTAAGAATTTCACAGTAAGAAGCACAACGGACTATGTGAGCGATGTTCGACAGTGAGAGTCATGTCTCTCAGTCTTCAGTCTTCAGTTTCTTGTGTTTAATATATTATTTCTAAGTGCTTTTCAGGCCTAAGATCTAGAATTGCAAGTGCATATTAATAAGGGGAAGAAAACCAGTGTGAAAAGGTCTGATTCCAAATATATGAGAAAACCCATAGAAGGTACAACACTAAGAGTGAACCCTACGGACTGGGGGCGATGAAGATGTGTGACTGTGGGGTCATCGATTGTAACAGATGTCCCACCCTGCTGGGGAATGTTGATCATGGGGCGGGGAGGGCCATGCATGTGAGGGAAAGGGGTACATGGGAACTTTACCTTCTGCTCAATTTTGCAATGAAAGAAAACTCTTCTAAAAAATTAATTCTATTAAAAAGAAAACTACATAGGTCCTGACCCAGGCAATTTATATCTAAAAACCAAAGAGATAAATGAAAACCAATGTGTAAAACATAAGCATGGAAGAAGACTGCCGCATATGCTTTATGACTGTTTATGTATCATATTGTAGAAAGTGACTCAGGCAAGTGAGTACAACACAGAATCAAATGCTACAATGTGGGGCACAGCAAGAAAGTTGCCACCACTTACTGAGCGCTTAGATGTGTGTTACTAGTGTTTCCTATTTTAATTCTCATAATAACCATACGAAGCAGGTACTGTTGGTATCTGCATTTTTCAAATGAGCAAATCAATGCAAAGAGAGGTCAAATGGCTTGCCCAGGGTCATCTGGCTTGTGAGCAGTGGAGCCAGGACACCGACGCAGGCCATTTGGTGCGGCCAGAGTACTCAATTCCCACATTCTCCAGACTCACTTAGTTTGTCAGCATTCGGACAGAGAGAACTTTATAGAAGAAATAAAGTCTCAAATTTTAAAGAGAAAATTAGAAAATGATTAAAGATAAAATTAGAATAAAAAGAGAGACTTTCTTATTTTCTAATAGCAAGTTTTGGTGATTAAAAAAACATTGTTGGCTCTGTTAACATATCTGGGCCTCCTTTTCTGTTCTTCCATATTCTGTATTAGTTGGTAAATTCCTCCAAGTACCTTCTCTTATTCTGCATCAAGGCTTTTTCATGTTTAAAAATAACAATGCCTCCTCATTCCATTATGAATATATGTGCATTTTCACCTGAATGGCATTAAGCTGTGGTGACTGAAAATGTAAGACACTGAAGCTGAGGTCAGATCTATTATCACTCTATACAAATTCGTCCTGTATAGTGAGTTGAAAAAATTTCTTAAAAGTTCAGAAATATATATCTTCTATATAGAATCTCCACTTAAATAAAAAGAACTGAGGAAAATTCTAAGAAGAATCCTGCCGTGGTAAAGAAATCTGATTCCAGCTCAACATGTTGCCGTCTTGAGTTGTTCCTTTCCTGCTTCCATTTGAAAACCTCCCTGTTTTCAGACTTCAAATTTTTTGCACAGAGCAGTATCTTTTCTACGGCCTAAAAGTTTCTACTTTTATTTCTGGTTAAAACCCTGTGAAAAAGCTGTTTAAAATTAGGTGTGCGGACATTATTTATAAACTGTGGTGGTTGAATGTTAAAAAAACATGAATGCCCTGAAAGATTAGAAAATATTTTTCCTACTACAGCAACACGCAGAAAGTGTTCCTGAAGCCAAAATCAGCACAGATTGTATGTAATGGTCAGGACCACTGCACAACTCCAGGGGGCACCAGTCACAGACTATTGCGTCAAATGATGCTCTCTAAAGTTTTCCAATGCAGTGGCCCATATAAATCATCTTAGCATGAAATACCTTTACTACATTGCATTATAGGTAAGCAAAGCCATTCTGTTACCCCAATATTTTTAACGTTTTTCAGCTCCTATAGTTCTTGATATCAGTTGCATCAGATTAAGTAATTCAATGGAAACATTTTTGGAGAAAAATAACTCTCTAGCCAAATAATATAAAAGAGAACAAGGAAATGGAAGCTTGGGTATTTCATCTCTGCATTTTTATTTAGCTCCAGTTCGCCAGAATTAAATTCAATTTTTTTTTTTATTCTAGTTGATTCATCTAAAAATCTGTACAACATTCTCCCATTATCTTTTCCAATTCTTTTAGGTTTCCTTGTAAATTCCTTTGCAAATAACAGGATGCCAATACCCTTTAACTAGTCCCTGTAAACTGGAATGATAATATCAGGTTCTTGGCATTCAGTAACACTTTGAAAAATTACAGTACTTATTTTATTTACTCCCTTACATCTCTTAAGACCCACAGTGTACTTTTCCGAAGACTTTGAACAAACATAAACAAGGTTTATAAAAACATAACAAAATTTTACTGTTAGGTTTGTCATGTTTTCCTTTCATCAGTAGTGCTTATGTATGTGTCTTCTGAAGAGAAATTCCTGTACTATCAAAAGGGATACCCTATTAGTGAAAATTATTGTGGTTCTGAGAAGAGAAACACTGTTGGAGCTTGAAAACTCTTTGAAGCTTTCTGTGTCTCCTTCATGTTCTCACTACCTCTGAGGTTTAATGTGTAAGAAAGTAACAACTTCGATTTAAAACTTCACATTGAATGCAAAATAGTATAAATTAATTTACTGATATTATATGGTAAAAACTATGAAGTGCTGGAAAATAGAGTTTATTCTGATAATTATGGTAGAGACTCTATCTTTGAATATTTAAATCTTCAAAGAGATAAAAATAAATTTCTAATTCCCATTCATTTATTCAATAAATATTTATTGAGCATATGCCATAGTTCAGGTCATGCTGTAGAAGCCAGGTGTATTTAATGTCTATTTTAAAAAATCCAGTTATAGGCATAAAAAGTGCTACTACCACAGGTCCTCCTGCAAGTCATTAAACTCTTTTTGCTTTTCCTTCAGTTTTCAAAGAGTAATTTCAATAAGTTTTTATTTTAAAATAGCAATCAATGAATTATATTTTATTCTTCACATGCTAATTGGTGATGAGTTACAAATATGAATAATAAATCATCATGTTGAGGTGCTAAAAGATCTTTTTAAATTTGTTAGTTTCCGTAGTACAAAGTTAAGTTAGCATGGTTCTCTTTTGGTCCTAATTTCCAGACCATAAATGAGAGATTCTGATCAGCATCCAGTCAGTTATGGCTCATTCTCTTGGGTGTCATCACTCTTTTCTAGATTTTGGGACACTTTGACAAATGCATACTTGATCTCAGGCAAAAGAAAATAAGACAAAATATATATTTTAAAAACTAAAAAAAAATGAACATTTGTTTTTCCTATGCTCTTTTTGGGGGGCAAGGGAAAACATATTCACAACAAAATTAGGAAAATTTCTATTAATCAAAAAAATTAAATATGTAATGAATTATTTGATACTTTGTTTTATAAGTTCAAGCTATCATTACACTAACAGTGAAACATTAGGACATGAATTTGGAATTTATAATTATGGATAAAAATTAAAAATTATAAATTCACACCAAGAGTTGAACTTTTTAGTTATAAATGAAAACAAATAATAATTACAATTCACAATAAATAGTAGAGTTTTTTAACGTATAATGTGAGTCTTTTGAATTGTATGGATGCATTGTTTTCCATTTCATTAGCTGCAGCAAAGGAGTCAGTTACAATATAGAAAATGTGATTTAGAATCTATATCAACACATACTCTCCTACTGTCAGCAAAAGAAATACTGAGATAATCCAAAAATCCTATTGTGTGTAATTCTGAAGAAAAGTGTTCTAAATGCTGAAATGAATCAAAAGCTAAATGATTTAGTCCTACCTCATCAACAATTTCTTGATCATACTGGGTAGCAAAGCTGTTCGTTTTATTTGATTTACTACTTCTCCACTTCCTGTGGTAGAGACAAGATTTGTTTTGTTTTATTTTTAATAAAGATTGTGGAGTTCAAAAAACTTATTTGGTAAGCTGCTTTACCTAGGTAGTTGTTATCAGTGTTGCTAATGTCTAAAATTAAAAACTTTCTGCATAAGCAAGAATCCTAATTTTACTTTCCTATTAAATTTAAATTCCTTTGGGGCCAGGAAGGGTGAAAAGTGTTTTGCTCGCTGCACTATTTCCCTCTGTGAGGGGTCTAGGATTTGACATCCTCTTGTTAAAATGCACTTTCTCCTGAGTGAATCACAGAAGAAAATCTGTTTCTAAATCCATCTGCCCATTTTGGAGATGGAAGCGACAAGGCTTCTGGAAAATCTCAGGTGCCTGCATTTCACTTAGAGTAAAAATAACGGGACAAACAAATCTGCAAATATTAAAACAAATGAAATTGCTGAGAAAACACAATTTAACAGGCTATGCAATAATTTTAAAGCATCACGTCATTGTCAGTCATCTGTGATTTTGGGTGGATGACTAAGGGGTCAGAAAGGTAGGAAAGAGAGATGGAGGAGAGAAAAAGCTGGAGATGAAAGAAGTTATATCGACCAATAGCTATCAGGAAATATAATAGGAGGTGATATTCAGACTCCCAGTTTCCTATTCCTCATCATGCCATCTGGTTGAATGAATAATAAAATATAAAAGAAATTTCTCAATTCTTCATTTGTAACAGAATTAATATTTAATCTCATAGGGTTGTTATATAGATTAAATGAAATAAGCAAAGTAAGGTTTTTAGCTATGTGACTTGCATATGAAAA